ATTTAGTGTGGATGGTCCAGATTGTCTGACATAGCTGTGAAGTCAGTGAACACATAGTCAGCTATTTGCATGAGCATTTTAATGTTTTGTCTTTTGGACCAAAAGAGGATACATGCACAGGTTCCTAAGGATGGGGGGGTGCACGGAGGGTATGGAGGGAATATGGTGATTAACCTTACCACCTTGGATTGACTTCCGAGCTCCCTAGAGAGAATGGTCAAAAGTGAAATCTCTTTCCTGCATGTTTTCATAGGGCCACATACCTCTGCTTTATTGCACTTACCACAACTGTAATTCGTGTAATTATGCGATCAATGTCCAGCTCTCTTTTTGGTCTTATCTTTGTTTTGCACACTACTTGACAGGAAGTCATGGAGAACAGGGGAGGGGAGAGCAAAGGAAAGGTAAGGTAGAAGGGATAAAAAGGTGGGAAGGGATAAAAAGGAGGGAAGGAGAAAGAGGGAGAAGTAAATTTTTATGAGGGACATTGTAAATTGGGAAAGTAATCTCATTGTTTTCACACCGTAAGACTAAAACCAAACAAAGGCTATCAAAATGATAATAAATTTAATGGTTGATTTAAATTTACCCCTCTAATTTCATAATTAACTAGAGGCCCAGTGTACGGATTCGTGCACCAATAGGGTCCCACAGCTTGGCCTGCTCCCTCTTGCAATCCAGGACCCCTCGAGGGATATTGCACTGCCGGTTTTGGCCTGATTACCACAGGCCAAGCCATCCAATATCCCCCAAAGGATGTAGTAGTGCACGAAGTGGCAGGCGGCTGGGGAGGAGCCCAAGCCTGGCTGATGCCTCTCTGGTTCCGTTCATCCTGGCCCCGCCTGCCACCACCACCATTCAGTAGTGGGGAGGCTTGTGCCGCCATAGCTGGCACCCATTGGTCAGCTGAGTGGAGTTCCCGCTGTGGGAGTGCACTGAGTGTCTGCCCCCTGGTGATCAGTGCATGTCATAATGACAGGTCAAGCGGGTTGCTTAGGCTTTTATATATACTAGAAGACCAGTGCATGGATTCGTGCACCAGAGGGGTCCCTCAGCGTGGCCTGCGGGGATCTGGCAGAAACCAGCAGTCCAACACCGCCTGCCACTCCTGCAATGGCAGGAGACTTTGTGCTAATCCCGACCCCGTTGTACCAGCTGCTGCTGCTCGGTAGTCTCGCTGCCGCTCTGCTACGTTCTCCGGGCTGCAGTGGCCAGTCGTGAATCCTGCATCTGGCGCCCACCAGTCAGCTGAGCAGCACTCCCACTGTGGGAGCACACTGACCACCAGGGGGCAGCTCCTGCGTTGTGTCTGCCCCTTGGTGGTCACTGCACATCATAGCAACGGGTTGTTTGGTCGCTTAGGCTTTTATATATATATTTATTATTTATAATAAAAACATATAATAGGAAAAAATATACCTCATTTAAACAATTGTTATTTTTATCAGTGCTAAGGATTTTGTAATCTACTGTTTCTGCTTTTCCCTGGATCTAAGAAAACTCAGAGTGCAATTTTCTTTTTATCCACAGTTGCTCTATCAGTGGAATGATCTAGACAGCTGCTTTCTCTTCATTCTACAGGGCCAAGGGCCACAAGGAAAAAAGTCCTCTTCTATTTGTTTACCCCTGTTGACATGAATCTTTATCACATAAGTTAGTTTTTAAATCCATACCAGCTTCTCTATATAATTCACATTGTCCTATGTGTGTGAATTACTTTTTCAACTAGACAAATGATTCTCAATGAGGGGTATAAGAAGAGAAGGGGTCAGAGGATGAAAGGATAGGCTGACACTCAGAACCATCTCAACCTGTCCTTTCTAAATTACATACAGCAGCTTACCTGTGCCCTCAAACCATAAGCATCACTGTTGTGAGGTGACACACCCACGGAAGCTGTTATACCCTAAGGGGGAGTGAGGAAGTAAAAGCAAAAATCAAACTAGTGATTAGGATCCTATTTTCACTAAAAGGTGAAATCAGAAGCTTATCAGTTTTAATCCTGGATTTAACACTTACTTTTAAATTCCTTATTCTCAGATAAATACAAAAACACCCTCCTTTCAGTGTGTAAAAGGTAAATGTATGCTCAGTGTTAACAGCCAGAGCCCAGTAAATGCCCTTTAACCTTTATTTTTCAAGCAGCCTTGGGAGGTCCTTGACATTGGGAGGTTTCTCAATCTCAGCACCAAGGACATTTTGAATCAGATAATTTTTTAAATTGTTTATTACAGTTGATAGTCAATATTATTTTATATTAGTTTCAGATATATAGCATACTGATTAGACATTTAAATAAATTTACAAAAATGATCCCCTCGATAATTCAAGTACCCACCTGGCACCATACAGCTATTACAATATTACTGTCTGTATTCCCATGGCGTACTTCACCTCCCCATAACTGTATGTAACTACAGCTTGTACTTCACCCCTTCACCTTTTTCACGTGGGTCCCTCTATCCCCTCTCCTCTGGCAACTATTAGTTTGTCCATTGCATCTCTTTTGTTTGTTCTTTTAGTCATTTAGACTCTACATATAAGGAGAATCACATGGTATTTGTCTTTCTCTGACTTATTCCATTTAGCATAAAAGCTTCCAGGTCCATCCATATTGTCGCAAATGGCTAAGATTTCATTCTTTTTTATGGTGGAGCAATTTTCCATTCTATATATGCACCACGTTTTTATGAATGGATAATTCTTTATAGTGGGCTAAGTCGTGGGTACCTGCCCCCAGTGGCACTCATATATTGAAGTCCTGACCCCCAGTCCCACAGATGTGAATGTGTGTGGAGACAGGGTCTTTAAAGTGGTAATTGGGATAAAAGCAAGTTTATACAAATTGGCCCTGGTCCAGTATGACTAGTATCCTTATAGGAGATTAGGACACAGATATGAGAACAAAAAAGGAAGATCATGTGAGGACCCAGTGAGAGCCAAAGGGAGGGCTCCCAGAAACCAAACCAACTGACAACCTGGTCTTAGACTTCTACCCTCTAGAACTGTGAGGGGAAATTCTCTTGTTTCAGCCACATGGCCTGTGGCACTTTGTTAGGGCAGCCCAGCAAACACTCCATGGAGGTTGGCCCGTGTTTTGTAGGATATTTAGCAGCTTTCCTGGCCTCTACCCATGATACCAGTGGCAATTCCCCAATCCCAGTTGAGACCTAAATACCTCCACACATTGCCCAATGTCCCCTGGGGAGCAAATTCGTCCTCCCTTTCCCACTGAGCACAGCTTCACAGGGCACTGTCACCTCTGCGCTGCCGCCTCACTGCGTAGACAGTTAAATATGACCCGAGTGAACTCACTGCCTGCCTCCGTGTCTTGGCTTTCACTGCTCTCTCGCAAACTCATTTTGCTGCAAACAGTGTAGTAATTATTTCCAGTTTAATTTATAGCAGACTGTGTGCGTTTTAATGATACAAGCACTTTTCCTTTTAGCATGATTTCTGGCAACTCAGGCGTAAATATCATACCGATGTTAAGCCCTGTGCTGTCTGACATTGCCCACACACTGCCCCTCAGATCCTTCGACACATTCAGTGGGTAATGCCGCCTTTATTTTCCCTACTGCACACTCGTGATTTTAGGTCAGGAGTGAGGAGCTTCACTTCTGCCAAGGGCCATTTGGATATTTATGACATCATTCTTGGGCCATACACATTATCAACTTAAAAGTTAGCCTATTATTTGGGCAAACATTTAATTTATTCACCCCTAATGCCTTGGCAGGGTCAGACATTCCCCACCCCCATTTTAGATTAAATGGTTATGATAAATTATTATGCAATCACTTGAAGCTCAGGGAACTCATAAAGAAAACAAATGGCCATTTAAGTGTTAGAACGCTTAACTCTAAGTTATAATGAGACTCCACACATTACCCTGAAACATGAGAGCATACCTAAATGTCAAAGTCCATGGAGACACTGTCTGGGAAGCGGAAGTCACAAGCATCCTGGAACATTCAGACATTTGTTGTCTTAACACTGCCACATTGGCTAGCCTGTCACTGGAAAGCTGATGTATCTGGGCTGGGTGGGGGCGGAGGGTGAAGACTGACGGAGACGCCGGGGAGCCTGAGGGACTCTGGAGGCGACGGGGACTGGCGCTCACTTCACACAGAGATCATTTCTGACCAAGCCCTTCGATGATTTGTAGCTTATACTCAAGATACTGTTTTAAGCACATGATTTTAAATTGATGTAGAGTCTAGTCATTTACAAAATCCATTTATTGCAGCATTCTTTTTAATGGCTAGGATTCAAAGTGTTAAAAATTCCATTTGCCCAAGTGAAAAAAAAGACTAATAATAACCATGTCATTGCCATTTCTGAAGACTGCCCAATGTTTTTAATTTATTGTTTATGACTAACATCTGAATAACGTGTAAGACATGGGTCTAACAACTGACTACCTTAAACTCAGACAACAAACATCACTAACTGCTATAATGGGCATGATGGCATTCAGTCTAACGCGCGCACGCGCACACACACACACACACACACACACGCACACACACGCACACACACACTTGCACACCGAGAATGCTGACACCAAGGATGTGAGTTATGACATCCTGCCTTTCTTTAAATAGAGGCCTTAACTCCTCGACTGCTCCTGTAGTCAAAGGTTGAAGAATCCTTTCTGAAGTGGGTTTCTCCATGAAAAAGGAGAATGGGTTAAGGACATTCTGAAATCTAGAAGCAAAGCCAAACAAAAAAACCTTTGCAAAAAAAGCCTATGTACTACGCAAAACTGGTAAACGTGTGAAGTCAGTATTTGAGAGAAATATATCCCAGCTAAAGGTAACTGACCAAGGGAGGATGTTTTGTAACCCCCCCCCCCCTCACTGAAAAAGACAGAAGAATGAAAAGTTGGTTAAAAATATTTAGAATTTACACCCTTATGTGGGTATAAATATGAAATCTATATGGCAACAGAAGTACCATATTCGGATCACTACCCTGGGAAAGTCGCCAAAGCCACGCTAGTTCCTATTCCGCTTGTTTCTCGGCTCCATCTCTGTACTTTCTGGTCTTGTCCGACGATTCTGTGTTGGACTTGTTTCTGTGTCCTGAAGATCATTTCTGAAAACAATAAAATGGAATTGGCATCTTAGAAAACAATGACCGTTATTATTTATAGCAGTTTCTAGTTTACAAGTGCTTTCATAGACATCTTTTCACTTAAACCCCCAAACAGCCCTCTACTCCACTGACCAATCTGTTAAAAAAATTATTATTATTATATATTATATATATATTATTATTATTATTATTATTATTATATATTATATATTATACTATAACTAGAGGCCCGGTGCATGGAATTTGTGTACCAGGAAGGGGGGGAGGGAGGGCCTGCACCCTTTCCAACATGGGACCCCTCGAGGGATGTCCCACTGCCTATTTAGGGCAGTCAGACATCCCTCTCACAATCCAGGACTGCTGGCTCCCAATTGCTCACCTTCCTGCATTCCTGATTGCCCCCTAACCACTGCTCTGCCAGCCTGATTGATGTCTAACTGCCCCCCTGTCAGTCTGTTTGCCCCCAACTTCCCTCCTCTGCTGGTCTGGTCACCCCTAACTGCTCTCCCCTGCAGACTTGATTGCCCCCAACTGCCCTCCCTTGCAGGCTGGTGCCTCCCAACTACCCTCCCCTGCTGGCCATCTTGTGGCTGCCATCTTGTGTCCACATAGGGGCAGGATCTTTGACCACATGGGGGCAGCCATATTGTGTGTCAAAGTGATGGTTAATCTGCATATTACACTTTTATTAGATAGGATAGAGGCCTGGTGCTTAGGTGGGAGCCAGCTGATTTGCCTTGAAGGGTGTCCTGGATCAGGGTGAGGGAACTGAAAATGGAAACTGCCTTGGGTGGGAAAAGAGAGTGGGTTCCCATATACAGATAGGGAGTTCCATGGTTTGCCAGGACCAAAGGAGGGAGCACCCAGGATTTCCTATCAGCTTGTCTAGATGTGGGGCAGAAGAGAAAGTGGAAAGGTTAAGACCTAAAAGCTGCCAGCAAACAACAAAATAATGGAACCAGACTCCTTATCACAGGTGTAAAACTGATGAAGAACTCAGTCCAGAGAAGTACACAGCTGTAGCACAGTGGAAGAAGCACTAGACTTAGGCTTAGGAGATTCAAGACAATTCACCATCCTTCTGGGCTCAGATTTCTCACAAAACACAGTGAGTGAAGTTTCTTCTCTTCCGATAAAATGAAAATGAAAGTACCTAATATAACAAGTACCATTGTTATATTAGTTTATAACAATGTAGCACATATTAGGAATTTGAGAGGTATTAATTAAATGATATTTATCTTCTCTAATACTCCAAAGTAATTTTTTGCTAATTTTATTAATATTTACTTCCTAGAAAATAATGGAACAAAGAAAAGAAAAACATATCAGCCAACATGCCAACTTCCTTGGGATAAACCTATTTCTGTCTCTGGGTAAAGGTCTATTAAAAAAGGGTCTTTGGTTTTGTCACCAGATGATAGAAAACAGTTTGATTTCTTTCTACTTAAATAGAAGGGTGACTCAATATATGCTATGACAGAACTGGTATCCAAAAAGACAAGAGGCATGAGCTAAATCTTAAAAGAGGAAAAGTAGGAAGGATAGCCAAAACCGGTTTGGCTTAGTAGATAGAGCGTTGGCCTGCAGACTGAAAGGTCCCAGGTTCGATTCCAGTCAAGGGCATGTACCTTGGTTGCAGGCACATCTCTCATCAATGTTTCTAACTCTCTATCCCTCTCTTTTCCTCTCTGTAAAAAAAAATCAATAAAATATATATATATTTTAAAAGTAGGAAGGATAATAAGTGTGTCCAGAGATGATTTCCCAGATTCAGGACAGGAAGGCATTAATGACAGTAGAGGGACACTAGGGTTCAAAAGGAATGGACAATGAAAGGCCGTCAGTAAGCAAACAGATTAAACTTAAGATTCTGTGAGGTCAAATAAGCAATACAAAACAATCAGAGTGATGACTGGATGAGTTCTGCATTGTAACCTTTACTGCATACAGTTCTTGGCACAACACTTGAAAGGGAACAGGAACAGACAGACTGGGGCCTGTATACATGCCTGAGACTTGCAGAGGCAGGGAGCTTCCCAGTTTCTTTTGTCTCAAGGAATCATCCTCTTTCCATTACAGGCCAGGCCTCGGATGAATAAGATCATTGTCTGCAGGCAAGTCCACAGGCCCACTCTGCGTTTAGCTTGCCTGGCTCTACACCCACAAACGGAGCGCAGGCCCAGCAGCAATAATTTCTTTTGATGGGCTTTTGCTCTTTGCTGCTCCTGTGTGGTTTCCCTTTCCAGAGTTTTCCTCGTCTAACTTGTAAGGATTTCTTGGGATTTGTTTTTTTCATCTCTTTTGCTTTTTGGTATATACTGAGGTTTATGTATGCTTATAATTACTTTGTCTTCCTGATAGATTGATCATTTTATCATTATAAAATATCTCTTTGTTTTTAGTTACATTTTTGTCTTAAGGTCTATTTTGTCAATTATTAATATAGCCAAGGCAGCTTTCTTTTGGTTATTGTTGCATGGAATATTTCTTTCTATCCTTATACTTTCAATTTATTTATCTTTGAATCTAAAGTGCATCTCATGTATAAAGCATATAGTTAAATCATGATTTTTCTTTAAAAAATCCACTGTCAATCTCTGCCTTTAAATATATATATATAAATATATATACTTTGATTTTTCACGTTGGAAAAGATAGTGATAAAGAGTTAGAAAAAATAATCCTCTCCCAGAATGCAAAAGTACTCCTCTCCTGGAATGCAAAGTTAAATAATGCTTAACTGAAAGTAATGCAACCAAAACCTCATAGTTTCATGCAACACTAGTTTGAACCATCAAATATTTCATGTTGTGTTCCTTAGATACACCACATTTTTCCATTTCCATGAGAGAAAAACATCGATCAGCTGCCTCCTGCACACTCCCTACTGGGGATGAGCCCACAACCAAGGTGCATGCCCTTGACTGGAATTGAACCTGGGACCCTTCGGTCCACAGGCCGATGCTCTATTCACTGAGCCAAACCGGCTAGGGCCAATCTCTGCCTTTTAATAGAACATTTAATCCGTTTATGCTTCGTGTATTCACTGATAAGGCAGGATTTATGAATATCATTTGCTATTTGTTTTCTATAGTGCTTATGTCAATTTTTGGTTCCTCTATTCTCTGCCTTCTTTGGTGTTAAATATTTTCTAGTGTACCACTTTACTCCCATTGCATTTCTTTTATTCTATTTTAAATTTCTTAGTGGTTGCTCTGGTAAATATAATTAACATATTAATTTATAACAAAATATGCCTAGAAGGATAACATAGATACTTATAAAACTGCTACATTTTGTTGAAAAGTAAAGCTGTGGAGACTTTTTCTGATTCTGCCTCTAAAGCTACATATGGAGCCCTGGCCAGGTATTTCAGTCAGTTAGAGCATTATCCCAAGGTTGCAGGTTCAATTCTAAGTCAGGTCACATACAAGAAGCAACCAATGAATGCATAAATAAATGGAACAACAAATCAATGTTTCTCTCCCCTCCTCTAAAGAAAAAATCCAAAAAACAAATAAAGCTACATTATAGCATAAGTTTATTTACACTATTGTGCACTACGCTGATATCAAGAGTCCTGGATTCTGATCCTGGCAGTGCCACTAACTAGCTGTGGACCTCAACCTAGTCAATTCACCTCTCTGGAACCCAGCTTCCTTCTCCACGTAATGAGGGGACTTGACTAGAGGAGCACTTATATTTTTCCAGTTTTAACATTTATTATCAAGTGATGGGGTTTGTTTGCTAAGAATTTTCTTATCAATAATGATTTTTAAGAGGTCATCATTGTTAAAAATGGACTTGGGCTCGGGAATTCTGGGCTACAGCCTCTCAGCCACTGGTGTCAAGATGATTCCCAATAAAAAAGAACATGATTACTGAAGGAGTGGCCTCCTCTCCCAAAATGCAACGTTAAATAATGCTTAGCTGAAAGTAATGCAACCAAAATCTCACACTTTCATGCAATACTAGTTTGAACCATCAAATATCTCATTAGTCTTATAAACCTACTCATATTGTATTCCTTGAATACACCACATTTTTCCATTTTCTAGCCACTCAGCTATGAAACTACAAAATGTCAATAGCACAGCAAACCTCTCCTTTGGAAAGATAGTAAAGCTTATAGGTCAAAAGTGTTGACTCTGACACATTAAGCTCCTCTCAGCTCTATCACTCATCGCTTACTGCTAAGTGACACTGGGCTGGAGACTTACCTCTTTCAGCTTCAGCTACATTATAAAAAGGAATAACCATACATCATAGTATTGTCATGCTACTTAAATGAGAGCACAGATGTAAAGTATTTACTATGGGTTAGAGCTGTGTTGACACTGGGATGACAGTGTTGAACCTGATAAGAGAAATGGACAAATAGCCATAAGGACCATAAGGACATGATCCAGAAGGTAAGGAAAGAGAAGACTTCCATGAGAAGCAGGTCTCGAGTTTAGGCCTAAAGGGTTAAGAGTAAACGAGAAGAAAGATGAGAAGAACATTCTGGGTAGAGACAAGCATGTTCAAAGGCTCTGCGGTCAGCGGGTATGTGACATGAGAGTTGCCTGTATCAAAGGAGCAAAGCACAGGTGTGTAAGACTCAAGACTGGAGAAGACCAAATCATGCAGGACCTTTCAGGTATATTCAAGAGTCCCTTCTCAATCCTAAAAGGAATAAGAAGCTACTGCTATTTTTAAAGTAGAGAGATGAGTAACAGTGATCAGATTTTCATTTTACAAAGGTCACTCTAGCTGCAATATGGAGATTAAATTGTAAAGAAGCCAGAAAATAAGGACAGACAAATTAAGACACAATTTACTGCCCAATCAAGCTACAATGGTAGCATGAACTAGGGTGATGAGAAGGGTAGAAATAAATCAATGGACCCTAGAGATATTGAAGAAGTAAATCTGTAAGAGTGATCACAGAGGCACCATAGAACAAGATGTCAAGAAAGACAGATTTTGTTGTCACGAGGGGAGGGCATAAGAAATTAGCTGAAAAGGAACACCAGAAGAGGATCATGTTTTTATTTTGCTTTAAAAACTATTTTGGGGGGTGTAGGAGAGAGTAGATAAGGTCAAGTGTTCAGCTTTGCACATGCTGATTTTAAAGAGTCTTAAAAATATCTAAGAAGAGATGTCAACTAGGGAGTTGATATATGTATCTGGGGCTCAGGAGAGGTACTGGCAGGAGAGATAAATTTATTAGGAGATCAATTTAATCTTGATCAACATCAACAATTAATGATCTAGTTGGGCAAAAGGAAAACAGTTTTTTGTGTCTCAGAAGCCAAAGAAGAGAGGCTTTTAAGAAAGATGAAGAAGCCCTAGCTGGTTTGGTTCTGTGGATAGAGAATCAGTCTGTGGACTAGAGGGTCCCAGGTTCGATTCCGGTCAAGGGCACATGCCCAGGTTGTGGGCTTGATCCCCAGTGGGGAGCATGCAGGAGGCAGCCGATCAATGATTCTCTCTCATCATTGATGTTTCTATCTCTCTCTCCCTCTCCCTACTTTTCTGAAATCAATAAAAATATATTTTAAAAAAAGAAAGGTGAAGAAGTCAATAGTATCAAACACTGTTAATAAATCAAGAGAGATAAGGCCTAAAAATGTGCTCTGGATTTAGCAACATGGCAGTCTTCAATGGCCTGAGTGAAAGCTATGTCAAAATGATGGGACTGGCTGAATATGATGAAGAATAAGTAAGTGGGAAATAAGGAAACGGAGACTGCAAGTAGAGATAATCTATTAGGAAAGGAAGGAGAGATGCAATAGCAGCTGGAGGATGAGAATGACTGAGATGAGAGGCTGAGTAAGGTGTTTTGTTTGCTGGCTGTGTGGCTGGCTGGTTTTAGGATGGGAAGGATTTAAGCACATAGGAAACCCAACACAAAATTACAGATGAGAAGGAAAAGTTGCCTTTGAGAGAAGGGACACAGCGAAGTTCCTGACAAGAGAGTTGTATGTGGGAGGAATTAGCCTCCAATATGCGTTAGGACATCCCTTTATTATAAAAAGAGGAAATGAGGATTAAATCTATACAAATGCAGGCAGATTTATATGTTTGGAAAGATGAAGATCCCACTATGATGGCTTTGGCTTTCTCTATAAAAAACCAGGTCTTCAGCTGGGGGAGGTGGGGGGGAGGGGGAAGACGCTGAAAAAAGCTGAGTTTTCAAATAATCCTTGTGAAGAACAGGACAAAGAAGTGATCGCAGGCCCAGTGGAATGCTGCTAGACAATTCTAATGGCCTATGGGAGGTATGTGATTATGAAATTATTGTGTATTTTCCCTGCTACACTACAGGTCACTCCTGTAGGTGGAGATTAATGAAAATGTATTGTTTTTTTGTTCCTGTTTCTTTCCTGCTTACCTACCAGTGGGAACTGGAATAATCCCCCACCCCCACCCCAAAGTCTCATTTCCCAGACTGATTCATAAGTAATATAGGAGAAGTAAAAGTGCATTTATTCTACACTAAACACATTTTATGACTAGGAACATCTAGAAAAGGATTAGAAATTTCTGAAGACTCGAGCCAGTGCTTAAGGCCAAATTATAATCAACTATTGGAACAATTTTTCTTCAGAAAAACAACTCCTGACAAATATTCAGAATTATTACACTGGAATTCCTCTTATAAGCAGAAATATATAGAAACAAGTAATAAACTAGAAATCTTTACCTGGAGGTGTGTGTATGAATTATTACTTTCTTAAATCAGAGAGCACAAACATTCTTTTGTTTGAAAATCAACTGTGCAGAATTATAGTTTCTCAGGTCAAAATGGACACTTAATAATTACGAGAACTCACTTATGTGATGCTTCCCAGGCTTCCTCCTCTTCAAGAATATCTCTAATGATGTCCGAACTGGAACTAAAAGGATATGTGTCAATATTGCCAGACAATAAAAAGACCGTATGGTTCTATTTATATAAAATTCTAAAAAAAAAAAAAAAAAAAGGCAAACTAATCTATAGTGACAGAAAGCAAACCAGCAGACCTGTGGTTACCTGTAAGGGGCACAGGATGGGTAAGGAGGGGTTGCACGGTGACAAAGGAAACTTTGGGAATGAGGGCAAGGTTCACCATCCTGATTGTGGTAATACTTTCATAACTGTATACATATATATATATGTCAAAATTCATCCAATTATGTGCTTTAAATATTGAAGTTACTTTTTAAAGAAACCTTTATAAGTTAGCAATAATAATGAAAAACATACAAAAGCTTAAATAAATCTCTCAACATAAAACCTGGATTCAAATGGAATATAGTCAAAGGCCTTTTCAATTTCCTATGGCAACCCAAGATCAAATCATGATGGTTTTTGTTGTTGTTTTGAGAAAAAAAAAATCTATCAGTTGCCTCCTGTATTTGTCAGGGATAGAACCTAAAACCTAGGTACTATCTGACCAGGAATTGACCCACAACCTTCTTGGTATATGGGATGATGCTTCAATCAATTAAGCCACCCAGTCAGGGCTCAAACTGTATCTTAGAAACTGCACTCTAGTCATGAGATTCACAAGAAATACTAAGTTCTAACGTGGCTTTTACTCCCTCTGTAATAAAGTAAAGTAAAACTAAATTAATTTTAATAGTGCTAATAATGGAATTTGTTATAATGTAATCTGGCTTAAAATACTATGTATTTCTGGCCTATCTGTACAGAGTAAAGAAAATTATAGAGGGCATGTATTACTTCTTTTTAAAAACATGTTTTTACTGATTTTAGAAAGGGAGGGAGAGAGAAATGATTGGCTGCCCCCTGCACGCCCCCTACTGCGGACTGAGCCCACAACCCAGGCATGTCCCTGACAAGGAATCAAACCAGTGACCTTTGGTACATAGGACAACGCCCAACCAACTGAGCCACAACAACCAGGGCTCATGCATTTATTTCATTATATCTGTTAAACCGAGTTGGCTCAGTGGATAGAGCGTCAGCCTGCGGACTGAAGGGTCCCAGGTTCGATTTCAGTCAAGGGCATGTGCCTTAGTTGCGGGCACATCCTCAATGGGGAGTGTGCGGAAGGCGGCTGGTCGATGTTTCTCTCTCATCATTGATGTTTCTGATTTTCTTTCCCTCTCCCTTCCTCTCTGTAAAGAATCAATAAAATATATATTTAAAAAAATACACACACAACTGTTTAAGGCTCTAGCATCTTGTTCTTACCCAAATAAATCCCTACCAGATAAATATTTTTTTTAAAAAGGACATGTACAACAATTAATCAAAAAAGCATTTCTTTAGACATCCAAAGACATAGAATATCAGGAGCACTGTATGGGACAATTCAGAAGTAGCAGTCACTGCGACAGGATGGGAAAGGCTAGAGTAAGAGGCTCATTCTCAGGTAAGAAACAACAGATTTGGAAATGCTAGTGTCAATCCTATTTCTAATGACACTCTAGTAGACCAACTGGTTTAAAAAAATAGATTTAAAGTTCCAGTGAACCATTCTCAACCGCTTCTGACAATCACTTTGAAGCAAAAACAGTGATTTCTGTAGCAAATGTTTTACTCACAGAATTTCTGCCAAATCCCCAAAACTCTCAAGGAGCTCTCTGCAGGCCCCCTCAGACTGTGGTCCCTGTGCTATGTAATGGCCTATGTGATTCCCACTGCACCTCAGGTCTGGTGACCCTCTGAAAAGCTAGCTCCATAGTTCTCTGGCTTTTCAGAAAAAGGATTCTCATAGGTAGCAGCTTTTAGCATGGGTGGCTTGACAAAATAGGTAATAATAATGAAGCATTATATATTATGTAATACTTTTTGTTTATATTTTATTCATTATATATGCCCCTGCACACCTTTCTAAAAGAGTTATGCATGCGTTTGTGAGGCACTCTTTACTATAAGTGATACTTGCTGGGCATGTGCTTCTGCAGACCCAGTGCAGTCATTCCTTCAGGCCCCTGTGGGAACCACGGGCAGGCCTGTCAGAGTACCTAAGCCTCTCCTACTTTCTCACACTGAGGAGGGCCCACTGCTCAAATGCAAGTGCCCCTGAAAATAATAACACATTAATTTATCACCAGTCATTTTCACCTTCGTGAAAACTGGCTCATAACAAGCTTTTCCATTAAACAGCTAGCTAAATGGAGTTTTTATTAGCAGGAGGCTTTAAGAAGATCAAAGGCAGAGTTTACCAACTTTATTATTTTCCTGAGAGACAGACTCAGACAGCCACTCCCTGGGGAGGGCTTAGATCCACTGCCACCCCATTCCCACTGAGGCCGCCTAACACCTTCTGATGCCAAGCTTTGTTACTCCTTACTGCGGTGATAATTACCCCAACCTAGTTCTTTTAATGTAACTGCTTTGTTCCCTCTCTCTATTCAAGTTATATGGATGTCCTCATCTATTCTTTATCTAGCTAGAGCAGTGGTTTTCAGCCTATGCCCCACAAAAATTGTTAAATTACCCAATATCTGACTATTTAATCAGGGACACTGACCTCTTTTCCCTTGGATCGCCAAACAAACAAACAAACAAACAAACAAACAAACAAAAAATGGCAATATCCAACATAACAATAGCTGTTCAATGTGAATGAATCAAAATTATACACACTATTTTTGTTAGACTACCAAAAGATAAGTTTTTTGGTGTGCTGCAGTTTTATTAATTAGTTTATGTATGCCATGAGATGAAAAAGGTTGAAATCACTGGGCTAGAGCAATAGCAGTGCTTTTCAATTATTTTTCATTATTTCCCCCATATAACTTACCTTTTTAGACATTTTTCCTAATTACCACTCCATGAAATTTTAACGCCACAAATACAACATATATCTACTTATGCACTGGGTATATACTGTGCTTTAAAAAAAAAAAAAAAAAAAAAAAAAAAAATATATATATATATATATATATATATATATATATATATATATAATTTTTCACAGAAAGGAGGAAGAAGGATAGAGAGCTAGAAACATCGATGGGAGAGATACATCGACCAGCTGTCTCCTGCACACCGCACACCGAGGATGTGCCCGCAACCAATGTACATGCCCTTGACCGGAATGGAACCTGGGACCTTTCAGTCCTTAGACCAACGCTCTATCCACTGAGCCAAACTGGTTTTGGCTATACTGTGCTTTATACATAAAAGGAGTAAGATATTTGAGCTATCTCCAGGGGACAAAACTGCTCCTGCTGAGAACCCATGACTTAGGAGAACTGGGAGCAGGGGTGGTAGGTGTCACACAGCTAGAGAAATAGTCAAGTCAGCTTCTGGCTGATTCCCCCAAACGCACGATGCAATTTTTTATTTTTTCCAAACAGGAAGGTTACAAAGCATCCCTACTATTCTAGCTAAGTAAGCAGAATGGCCAAGCCTGTCAACTAACTTAGTAATCTGTGACCAATTTGCCTAGTAGCTTTCCAATCTCCAGTACAAATCACTGGATTGTTAAAGGAAAATATTTGCGGTACATTAGTGACATAATCTAAGAGGTTTTTGCTATGCCACCTCAGTGAAAACAGATGGCACAGAAGGCTGTCAAAAAGCACATCTCATTAGTTGCCTATAACCTCTCCTTCCTGAGACTTTAATGCCATGGACCACCCAGACTACGCAGCGCCTCGATTCACATCACCATTGCTTCTCCTCCAGCTTGTCACTAACCTGACTGACAACCAAACCAAGAAAGTGAATGATAAAACTCTGGGAAGTTTTAACTTTACCAAAAATAAAGTTTCAGGATTATCCACTGCATCAGCTGCTCTAATTCTAGTAACTGCTGAGAAATGAAGCGTTGATACTAATACAATTGAAATACCAAACAGAACTGTCATGTTCTTTTTAAAGTTGTGTACTTAAATTCTTTCCACTCAAAAGCTACATTCCTGAAATTAAACATGATTTTACAGAGACTTAGACTATGGGGCATAACAGTCAGTGGCACTAAAATTATCACTCTCAGATCTCTTCCTTGTAAACAAAAGTAATTAATATTTTTGAAGCCTTAGTCACTTTAATATACATTAGAGAGAACAATTCCTTTAATATACTTAGAAGACATCTAAAAAGTCCTCCACAGGAGAAAATACTCACTACGGTCAATCTAGGTCAGAGCATCACAAACCCACACAGCTGTAGCTTTAAATTCTTGGACAGGGAATGTTTTCAGAGTATACTGAGCTTCTCTCTTTTGGTTTGGAACATTCTGCAGACCAGGATTTAAGAAGCTGGATGGACATGAGGTCTGGTACCTATGGAAGGGTGTTCATATCGTGCTCCCTAGCTACAGTGGATATTACTATACAGATTAAATATATGTGAGAAAGACTCATTGGCAAAATAAATATGAATTCTGGAGTCTATAAAATTCCCAACCTCTGTTCAGGAAGAGTCTCCTAATTCCACCACACTTAATATTTCATACCATTTAGACCTTATTTGCAGCTCAAGGCTTCAGAAGCATAAGCTACACTGGTTTTGTTGGTTAGTTGATTGGTTGGTTTTTGACCTCATTCGTCTTCCCAAAATGTTTTACTTTTGTCATTCTGACCAAAAGTGTAGCACATCTTATCAGGTAAAGGAAGGGAAACACTTTTGTGACATCTCATTTCATTCCACTAGTCAAGATTTTACCAACAAAGAGGAAAAGTTATATGCCCAATTCTTCTGACAAAGGTATGGCTATCCAGAGGGTGAAAGCAAAACTCTACCGTCAAAGTTAAGTTTTCAGCACTGTTTCTGTCACTAACTGAATAACCCTGGACAAGTTATTTCATCTTCTAACAGCCTTACCTATAAAGTCAGGATAATAGCCCATGTAGTTTACAGGGACACTTTTAGGATTAGTCAATAGAACACATAGAATGTTCATAAAACAGCTCAGCACATAATAAGTGTTCA